TCTTGGATAACACGTCTCTTTAACATTGCGTGGATGTCGGGTACAGCGCCCAAGGAGTGGCAGACTGGGGTGGTGGTTCCCCTGCTCAAAAAGGGGGACCAGAGAGTGTGTGCCAATTACAGGGGTATCATACTTCTCAGCTTCTCTGGTAAAGTCTACTCCAAGGTGCTGGAACAGAGGGTTTGGCCGATAGTCGAACCTCAGATCGAAGATGGGGTTTTCGTCCCGGTCGTGGAAAAACTGACCAGCTCTTTACTCTCACAAGGATCCTGGAGTGAGCTTGGGAGTATGCCCATCCAGTCTACATGTGCTTTGTAGATATGGAGATGGCGTATGACCTGGTCCCCTGGGAGATACTGTGGGAGGTGCTGTGGGAGTATGGGGTGAGGGGGGCCCTTCTCAGGGCTATCCAATCCCTGTACATCCAAAGCCAGAGCTGTATCCGAGTTCTCGGCAGTAAGTCGGACTCTTTCCAGGTGAGGGTTGGCCTTCGCCAGGGCTGCGCTTTGTCACCAATCCTGTTTGTGATATTCATGGACAGGATATCGAGGCGTAGACGTGGCGAGGAGGGGCTGCAGTTCGGTGGGCTTGGGATCTCGTCACTGCTTTTTGCAGATGATGTGGTCCTGATGGCATCCTCGGTCCGTGACCTTCAGCTCTCACTGGATCGGTTCGCAGCAGAGTGCGAAGCAGTTGGGATGAGGATTATCACCTCTAAATCTGTGGCCATGGCTCTCAGCAGGAAACCGCTGGACTGCCAACTCCAGGTAGGGAATGACTCCTTACCCCAAGTGAAGGAGTTCAAGTACCTCGGGGTCTTGTTCACGAGTGAGGGGAGACTAGAGCAGGAGATTGGCTGGAGAATCGGATCACCGTTGTGACAAAAAGATCAATCTACCGGTCAATTTTCGTTTCTACCCTCACCTATGGTCATGAAGGCTGGGTCATAACCGAAAGAACGAAATCAAGGTACAAGCGGCCAAAATGAGTTTCCTCAGGCGGGTGGCTGGTGTCTCCCTTAGAGTTAGAGTGAGAAGCTCGGCCATCCGCGAGGAGCTCAGAGTAGAGCCGCTGGTCCTTTGCGTTGAAAGGACCAACTAAGGTGGTTAGGGCATCTGGTAAGGATACCTCCTGGACGCCTCCCTAGGCGACTACGCCGAAGAGGACACCACACGCCGCAACTGGGAATATTTCTCTCCAACGTGCGCTCGCTGTCCAATAAACTGGACGAACTTCAGCTACTGGTGGGGGAAAAAGAGACTTTTATTCATCTTCTTTTCTGTGCTTCACCGAGACGTGGCTCAATACTGGACTCCGCGCTGCAGGTGACTGGCTTCCAGGTCTACAGAGCGGACCGCGACACGGAACTCTCTGGCAAAACAAAAGGTGGAGGGGTCTGTTTTACATTAACAGTGGCTGGTGTAACGATGTGACAGTGATTCAGCAACACTGTTCTCATGACCTGAAATATTTATTGATACACTGTAAACCATTCTACTTCCCCCGCGTAGTTTTCTAGCTACTTTCTGCTTGGTTTACATCACACCGAAGGCCAACGTGCAGAAGTCACAGCGCACACTGGCCAATCAGATACTGTGGGTAGAGCGGACATTCCTGGACTCCTTAGTTATTGTTCTTGGTGACTTTAACAAAGGAAACCTCACCCATGAACTCCCCAAATACAGACCGTGTCCAACCAGAGAGGGGAACACTTTGGATCACTGCTACACCACAGTAAGCAGTGCCCATCACGCCGTCCCTCGAGCTCCACTGGGACAATCTGACCACGCCAAAGTTCAATTGATTCCTGCATACAGACAAAAACTAAAAATCTGTAAACCTGTGGTGAGGACATCAAAGCAGTGGACCAGTGAAGCTGTGGAGAACCTCCAGGCGTGTTTTGACTGCGCTGACTGGGATGTTTCAGACCTGCAACCAACAGTCTGGATGAGTATACAGAGGCTGTGACGTCCTACATCAGCTTCTGTGAAGACCGCTGCATTCCAACACGGACCAGGGTGAGTTATAACAATGACAACCCTGGTTCACAGCTAAGATCAGACAGCTAAGGTTGGAAAAGGAAGAGGCGTTTAGGAGTGGCGACCGGGCCAGGTTTAAGGAGTCAAAGTACAGGTTTGGCAAAGCGGTGAGAGATGCTAAACAGCTGTACGCAGAGAGACTACAACACCAGTTCTCAAATAATGACTCTGCTTCTGTCCGGAGAGCCTTGCTCCTGCGAGGTTTTAATGTCATGTGACATAGTGACGTTTGGCAGCGGTGGCTAAAGTTGGACACGATTTCTAACCAGCATGCTTTATTTTAAGTCCAGCTTGCATCACGTTAAGTCAGCGCTGCGCAGCGCCACATGAAGTCAAGCGCACCTAAAGACACAAACCAGGCCTTCATTTAAATATTGCCACCTGCTAGTAGAAAGGGCAACCAGCTTGGTTCATTACGGTGGAAACCACATTAAATATTAATTTAATTATATAATATAGCGCTAACAGTAACAACTCTGCACACACAATACGTTCTTAGGTTAACCTATATTACCAACTGTATTGTTTGCTGTAACAAAATTGATTATATATCCTATGTATTTGTAAGTTGTGTGTTAGTGTGTAAATGTACCATGTAAAGCGACCTTGAGCTCTGGAAAGGCGCTATATAAATAAAACTACTTCTTCTTCTTCTTCAAAACAATGCGCTCATTAAACGTGACTGATGTGTACGTGGATAGGCACGATATTACTGTAAAATCACTGTAATAAACTACTGTTGCTAACATATTTCTCTCGGTCCAGGTTTATGTAACGTTAGGCCTATTTATTGATCGATTTTCCTTTCTTCTAACGTTACTCTGGTATAACATTAGTGCTGCATAATGTTATGACCATTATAAAAGCTTGGCTTTTATTTTAATCGGCTATATTTACTATTACTTCCGGGTCACCTGGCCCACCTGTCTTCCTTTTAATGTAGATCTTCAACGGAGAAATGAAAAAGGAATTTCAAAAAAAAAAAAAAAAATCGGGCTGTTATTTGAATTTAGTCGTTTTTCGTTATTTCAGAAACCAAAAGCGAGAGAACAGCGCTTTTCTCCCCCTGTTTCTTCTTTTTTTGGTTTGAAACAACAAACGAAAAAAAGGTGGTTTTCTCGTTTGTTTGTTTTGTGGTTCAAACGAAAAAACAGAACATACACGGACCAAGGGGCAAACAGATCCAGTAGTGAGCATGCACCAATCAAAATCTAAAGTCCAGAAAACAAAGTCTAAATATACTAGTGAGCACAAGATAATAAGACACAGGTGAACTTAATCAGGGAGGAGCAAACAATCACACAAGGGGGAAGTGAAGTGACCCGAAACCAGATGAGAGGAAAATACCAAAGTAAAACAGGAAACACAAAGACACAAGAGGAAGCAGTTAACAAAATAAAACAGGAAATAATAACCCTCAAAGCCAAAACCATGACAACATGTCTTCACAGAGAGAGGAAGAGGAGTCATGTTTCTGTGGAGGAGCAGCCGTCCTGCTGTGCTTTGTGTCAGGACATCCTGAAGGATCCAGTCTCTACCAGCTGTGGACACTGGTTCTGCAGACTGTGCATCACCTCATACTGGGACCAGTCTGCTTCATCAGGACACTCCTCCTGTCCCCAGTGTGGAGAAAGATCCAGAGCTGGACTGCAGACAGCCAGTCAGAACAGCGCCGTACAAGGTAAGACTGTCCATCTGTCTGCTGATGTCCTCATGTCTGAAAACAGGATTCTTGGGTTTCTTTGCCTCGCAGCATTTAAAATGTTGCTGTCTCAGCCAGTCAGAAACATTTTCTATAGGATTCATTTTTCTTACTAGTTGTTTTTATATTGGTACTAATGAATAATTCCTACTAATGATTCTTTCTTCTGTGACAGTGGATGGCAGTCTGCAGGAGGTTTTAGATGAACATAAGATCAGTCTGAGGAGGAGATGTGAACGTGTGACTGAAGGAAGTGATGAAACAGGAAGTGGAACCCTCCTCAACAGGATCTACACTGAGCTCTACATCACAGAGGGACAGAGTGAAGAGGTTAATACCCAGCATGAGGTGAGGCAGCTTGAGACAGCTTCCAAGAAGAAGACCCTCCATGACACTCCAATCAGGTGCCAGGACATCTTTAAAGCCTTACCCGGCCAACAGGGAGCCATCAGAGTGGTTTTGACCAACGGCGTCGCTGGTGTTGGAAAAACCTTCTCGGTGCAGAAGTTCACTCTGGACTGGGCAGAGGGCTCGGAAAACCAAGATGTCAGTCTGCTGGTTCTGCTCTTGTTCAGGGAGCTGAACTTGATCAAAGATGAGCGGCACAGTCTCCTCACGCTGCTCCATGTTTTCCATCCAACATTACAGAAGGTCCCAGCAGAGAAGCTCGCTGTCTGTAAACCGTTGTTCATCTTTGACGGCCTGGATGAAAGCAGACTTTCATTGGATTTCCACAACAGTGAGGTTGTGTCTGATGTCACACAGAAGTCATCAGTCAACCTGCTGCTGACAAACCTCATCGAGGGGAATCTGCTTCCCTCGGCTGGATAACTTCCCGACCTGCGGCGGCCAATCAGATCCCTCCTTCACGTGTTGGCAGGGTAACAGAAGTACGAGGCTTCACTGATGCCCAGAAGGAGGAGTACTTCAGGAGGAGAGTCAGTGATGAAGAGCTGTCCAGCAGAATCATCTCACACATCAAGACCTCCAGGAGCCTCCACATCATGTGTCTAATCCCAGTCTTCTGCTGGATCACTGCTACAGTTCTGGAGCACATGTTGACTACAGAGCAGAGAGGAGAGCTGCCCAAGACCCTGACTGACCTGTACTCACACTTCCTGCTGGTTCAGATAAAGAGGAAGAAGCAGAAGTACGATGAGGGACATGAGACGAGTCCACAGGAGCTGACGGAGGCTGACAGGAAGGTTCTTCTGAAGCTGGGGAGGCTGGCGTTTGAACAGCTGGAGAAAGGAAACATCATGTTCTACCAAGAAGACCTGGAGCATTATGGTCTTGATGTCACAGAGGCCTCGGTGTACTCAGGAGTTTGTACAGAGATCTTCAAAAGAGAGAGTGTGATCTTCCAGAAAACAGTCTACTGCTTTGTTCATCTGAGCGTTCAGGAGTTTCTGGCTGCAGTCTACATGTTCCACTGTTACACCAGCAGGAACACAGAGGAACTGGAGGACTTCCTGAGGAAAGACTGGGACAGTGAAAACAGTGATTCATTCATTGATGATGACGAAGACGAAGACGAAGACAAAGATGAAGACGACGGCGACGACAGACGGGATAATGACAATGACTTATCTCTGGAGGACTTCCTGAGGAGTTCCATGGAGAAATCTCTCCTAAGTAAAAATGGCCACCTGGACCTGTTTGTTCGCTTCCTTCATGGCCTCTCTCTGGAGTCCAACCAGAGACTCTTAGGAGGCCTGCTGGGTCGGACAGACAACAGTCCAGAAATCTTCCAGAGAGCCATCAACAACCTGAAGGAGATGAACATGTACATGAACTGGATCTCTCCTGACAGAAGCATCAACATCTTCCACTGTCTGACGGAGATGAACAACCACTCAGTACATCAGGAGATCCAAGAGTTCCTGAAGTCAGAGAACAGATCAGAGAAGGAACTCTCCGAGTTCCACTGCTCAGCTCTGGCCTACATGCTGCAGATGTCAGAGGAGGTTCTGGATGAGTTGGACCTTGAGAAGTACAACACATCAGATGAGGGACGACAGAGACTGATTACAGCTGTGAGGAACTGCAGAAAGGCTCGGTAAGTCCAGATGTGATTATCAACACTGTAAAGCAACGTAAAGCTGAAGCATCAGTATTACAGTAAAGATCCACACTTTACACACAATATAAAACCTCCACAGTATAAAAGTTTCCTAAACTAGTATTAAAGCTGCTTATTGAAATAATTCTACATGTGTTAAACTCCAAATGTCTACAAACATCATTTCTGTGTTTCTATCCATCAAGTTAGTGACACAAGTATCTTCTATCATCTTCTATCTTTCTTTGGGTGATGGAGGCTTGATACAAATCCAGCAGGAAAACTTGAGGATAAAGAGTTTGTGCTGAAGATGTTTTGACAGTCATCATTTTATCCCAGCAGTCTTTTTATTTTTCCACTGATCCAGTGTCTGCACTCTGTTTCTATACTGTGTCTGTTTCTTGTTCTTCTTCTACACAGACATGTCGTATCTGTGATCTGCTGGAGCTAACGGCACTTGAAGCTTTCATGCAGTTATTGCTCTTCTATTTTTTCTCTGCAGTTTGGGAGCTATTTTATAGCAAGGACTGTTCTGTCCATTTTCTCAAATTATTGTTTGATTTGAGAGGATGTGAGGGGAGGCCATCCTCCCTCTTGAAGAGAGAACAGAACATCCCCCTCCCCATCACAGAAGCAACATTAAAGCTAGATATGCAGAGAAAACAGCAGCACATGCACACTAGCACATTTTTGTGAATGGAATTATTTACGCACAACAAGGGACATATGCTCGATCTTTCTCATGTTATGACCATTAATAATGTCTACATCGGAGATGTATTTGTTAGTGATCACAAATGCATCTTATTTGATCTTGTTTGTGATGAGGATCCTCTGCCTGCTAAACGAGTGTCCTGGTCACGTTTGATTAACCAGCTTACAGTTGTGAAATTTTCAGCCGCATTTGACTCAAGCTCGGTTTTTATTTCGAATGAAGTGGACCCTTGTGCATAGGCGTTTAATGATCACTGCACCCTGCAGTTGGACAAAGTAGGGCCGTTAAGTTAGTGGGCATATTTATTATATTTCACCACATCTTTGCATTTAAAAGCCATACATCTACTTGGCCCATGTTTGGTTTCAATTTTAAACTTATCTCTTTAGCTGGGCCAGGTCCCCAGCTGTTTTAAGCATGCTGTTGTTCAGCCTACCTTGAAAAGAACTTTCTTGATGAAGCTTCATTTAGAAACTATAGGCCTATTTCTAAATTGCCTTTTCTTTCTAAAATTCTAGAAATGGTTGTTGCGAACCAGCTAAATAATGTTTTGGATTCTCATAATATCTTTGATAAGTTTCAGTCTGGTTTTCATAAAAACCATTCAACTTAGACTGCCCTCCTTAGGGTCTCAATTGATATTTTGATGGCTGCTGATGGGGTAAATGTTCTGTAGATCTCAGTGCAGCATTTGATACTGTTGGTCACTGCACTCTTGATTGATAGACTGAAAACAACTGTGGGCATTACTGGATCAGCTCTGGACTGGTTTTCCTCCTATCTTTCAGACGGGGAGTTTCTGTGTCCATAGGAACATATACGTATGTGTTTTTTAGGTAAAAATGAAAATGCAATTATTTTCATTTTCACATACTTGTGTGAGCTTTTTTGGACCATTAAAATGAAAATGGAAACAGCATTTGACATTTCATTTTCAAAGACTTAACCTGCACTATAGTGGACTTTATTCAAATGCAATGAGTGATACAGCGCCCCCAGTGTATTGTATTTACATGTCCATGTGCTCATGGTCTTTTAAAGGTTCAGTGTGTAATATTTCTGAGGATCTATCAACAAAAATGCAATTTAAGATCTATAATTATGTTTTCAGTGGTGTATAAAGACCTTATATAATAAACCATTATGTTTGTATTACCTTAGAATGAGACATTTATATCTACATAACCGCAGGCATCCCCTTCCGTGGATGTCGCCACGTTGCATCGTCATGTTTCTACAGTAGCTGAAAATGGACAAACAGCGCTACAGAGCGCATTTCGCGTTTTTATATACAGTCTATGGTTTCTTCACTAAGTTCTTCTGGTTCTACTTCTGGTAGAATTCAGGCAGTGCAGACACTCATCACTATGCTGAATACATACGTTAGAAGAAGAAGTAGTAGTAATAATATACTGCAGGGGTCTGCAAATAAGTTTTGAATTGGAGCAATATCTTCAACTATTAGATTGCGGATGAGAATATAAGCCATAATATTACTTCAACCAGGTGTCTTGTTTGGTTAGCTCAGTTGGTAATCTGCAGGGCTCTCAACCCAAGGATTGATAGTTCAATCTCACCTTGGGAAATCTGCAGTGAATGTTTCTGAGATCACAGCATGTGCTGCACTGTTTTTGTTTCGGTGTTTGATCCGCATCCATCAAACTACAGACTTTTTTGCATTTCCTAGTATCTCCAGTCAGAGGACATTTAGGGGAATCACGTTTTCTGAGGCTCTTTCAGAGGTGTGTCAAGCAGACTACAGACTCTTTAATGTCGTTCAGAATTTTTCAGAATAAAAGCTCAGTTCAACTTCAAACAGAAGATTGCAATAAGCAAGCTTTCTCGCGCCTTTTTTGTAGGCAAAACCACTAAAGAGGAAGTGATTATGTGAGTAACTGTTGCCGCTGTTAAAGCACCATAATCTGGTAGTGGGCCAGATATATTGTTGGTGGGCAGTTTTAGCGAGGGTCCATAATCACAGAGAGAATTACTGTGTTTCCCTTGTCAATGTTTGTATAAACTTTATTTAATATGTGGTTTATTTTTAACTGTGGTGCAGAAACAGTGACAGTGTTTCAACCTATTGGCTTACATTTTCATGTTGTCTGTCAGTGGCAAAGTCGCAATAATATGGTTTTACTGAATAAGTAAATATAATTTCTTAATAAATACCTAAAGAAACCTCATTTCTTGACTGGCCACTCTCTGCTGTCTCCTTTGTGCTGTGTCAGACACTGTAGCTGTCCTACCCTCTTTGAAAGGTTAGGGGGCAGTGGTGAACTGGACAGTGTGTTGCAATTCACAACCCTCACCACTAGATGCCACTAAATCTCACACACTGAACCTTTAAGGGCAAATGTAAAATTAAAATGCCATTTCCTAACTATGTGAAAATGAAAATGAGAACAGCATTTGACATTATATTTTCAAAGACTTACTCTGCTCTATAGTGGACTTTATTCAAATTCAATGAGTGAAACAGCGCCCCCAGTCTTCTAGTTAATATGAGTTTGAATTTGATTGATTGATTCTGAACACAGCCACATCCCCAGATATAAGTGGGTGTGCACACTTATGCAACCAGGTTATTGTAAGGTTTTTATTTTTCATTTTCCCCCTCGAGGATTTCAGTTTGTTTTTCAATTGAATTGTTCATGTTATAGGTCACATTAAATGTAGAAAAAGTTCTGACATGATTTATCTTTGTGTCATTATTTTACATCACAAGAACCTGGCATTTTAACAGGGGTGTGTAGACTTTTTATATCCACTGTATCTTCTCGTCTGGATTATTGTAATGTACTGTACACTTGTTTAAACAAATCCTCCATGGACCAACTGCAAGTTGTACAGAATGCAGCTGCAAGACTTTGTCTAAGACCAACAGGCCATCGCACATTACTCCTGTGCTTAAGGCTCTTCATTGGATTCCGATTGGTTTTAAAGTGCATTTTAAAATTTAACCATTACTTACAGAGCCTTGCGTGGTCAAGCCCTCTTACATCCAAGATCTATTGCACAGACACACTTCTGGTCGCTCTCTGAGGTCTTCAGGAAAAGACCTTTTAACTGTTCCAGAACATGTTTTAAAACAAGAGGTAATTGTGCATCCTGTGTGATGGCTACAAGGCTCTGGAACTCTCTCCCTTTAGCCTTGAGAGCCTTGGATTCTGTGGAAACTTGTAGAAAACACCTTAAGACACATCCTTTTAGACAAGCATTTAACTAGCCATATGGTTTTGTATTTTCTATGTTGTTGTTGTTATTTGTTTTATTTAATTCTATTTTTTTTTACTGTGATCACTTTGTGAAAGGTTTACTTACTTGATTTGATGGTGTTTCATAATTTGAGATTATATCTGTATGTTTCCTCATTTGAAAAGGACTTTATTTGCGGACAGTTGCAGTTTGTGGACAGTAGGTGGCGCTGTGAGACTGTGGTTTACCCAGGGACTGTAATCAAGAGCGCATGCTCCGCTGGTTTTCCTCCTAAATGAGGATTTCAGCAGCGACAGGCCACGTCTCCCTGTCTCATCATTCTTTCCTGTATTTCAGGACAAATCCACAGTTTCTGGGTGCTGCAGGGAGGTACCTGTAACACACATTTCCACTGTGGCTTTCATTGAATGTGCAGCCACAGTCTTTGTATTTAGCAGCTGGTTTCCTCAGACAGCAGCTCATTACACAGTCAGCTGCTGGACGCCTCCAGGTTCATTCTACCAGTGAAGGAGAGCTCAGCAGGTTCAGTTCAGTGGAGGGATTTTATCATCACCAAGCTCAGAGAAGAAACGTTAAACAGCTGATAATACAGTCTTTAGTACTAATTATACTATCAATGCAACAGGAGTCATTAAATGAATTTAATGGCAGATGAAAGCAGATGGAGTGACATAAGATGCGTCAAAGATAAAGATAAGACAAAACACACACAAGCACATGACTGAGGTAAATCCATACGAGTGCATATGACATGTTCACATTACATTAATTTGGCAGACACTTTTGTCCAAAGCAGTAATAATGTGGTTCATTATGTTGCCCAAGGACACTTAGACATGTTGACAGGAGCTCAAGTTTCAAACCACAAACCTTGTGATCAATGGCTGAGCAGCTGAGCAGCTTAGCTGCAGCCGCTCATGTTAATGTGCTTTGTCTATTTTTAGAATAAAGTGTCAGATTTTATTGTTTTTTTATATTCTCTGTCATCACAGACTTTGTGACTGTGGACTCTCAGAGACTCACTGTGAAGTCATGGCCTCAGCTCTGAAGTCCAACCCCGCCCATCTGAGAGAGCTGGACCTGAGTAAAAACTATCTGGAGGATTCAGGAGTGAAGCTGCTGTCTGCTGGACTGGAGAGTCCAAACTGTAGACTGGAGACTCTGAGGTCAGTTCATGTATTCTGCTCTTGTCCAGTGTATATCTACCAAATTAAAATCCATGACAGAAGTTTTAAATTTCCTTCAGTTCTCTTGTTTTCTGGGTTTGTCTGAGCACAAACCACAACAGCTCTTTTAAAAGTTTGTCTGTATTTTAATGGAATTTAGTCTGAACTCAAAGTGGATTCATGTTGATGCAGTTCTAAAGACGACTGAGGATGAAGCTCACAGTCAGTCAGCTGTGTGTTGATGGAGATGACAGTGGTGATGAGGAGAGTCTAAATCTGTGCTTTGAAATGAGCATCCGAAGTGCTTGGACAGGTGTTAAAGAGCTCTGCAAGGTTTTGGATTTACTAAAAGTCTTATTCATTTCATAAAGTTTTTTTATTTCATATCTACCATATTGGAATTCTATAGAAAACATCTGTCTTAGTATTTTTCATAAAGTGAGACATGATTTTTATGAATTAGAAGAACAGAAGAGAATGAAAGTAACAAAAGTACTAACATGTCTGATTTGTTCATTATTCCAGACTGGCCTGAGATCAGCAGCATTATTGATCGTGTGACATGAATAGGTGTATGAATGTTGTGCTGACATTTGGATGATGTCTGTAGAAGGCTGACATTATGATGATTCACAATAACACAATGACAAAGACCCTCTACTCATTTAGGGAAAAGCTCATTGATTAGGACATAGTAATGTTGAGCTCCACATTTAAAACCTGAACACATCTGATTGGATTAGAAATGGATTTTTATCTCCATCATTTATTCTTTATTCAGATTGAGGGGCTGCGGATTGTCAGAGATCAGCTGTGCTTCTCTGGCCTCAGCTCTGAAGTCCAAACCCCCCATCTGAGAGAGCTGGACCTGAGTGACAACAAGCTGCAGGATTCAGGAGTGAAGCTGCTGGTGGTTTTTCTGGAGAGTCCACACTGCAGACTGGAGATTCTGAGGTCAGACATGATTTATGTTTAATATTTAGGCAAGAATATCTGTTTATTTATTAAGTTTAGCTGTCCTTAAAATGACATGACACAACAATGACATTATTTTGAAGGCGAGCTGTCTCTATACCCGGTTTCAGTTTCTTGTTCAATTTCCATTGTACAAGATGGATAATGGAACAGGCCGATGCTTTGGTGCACTAAATTGCATTGCACATCTTCATTCAATGCGACAATAACACAGCATAGTGCTAACATTTTTTTGGCAGCATCGGCTCTAGAAAATGAACTCCGACTGTTCAATATAATTTATATTAGTAGGAGGTAGTTAGTAGCAAGTAGGACAATGAAATTAGGAAATACCTATACTGGCTGTTTTCATCACAATGTGAACAACTGCAGATGATTATTCATGCATGGACCCTTAAACTCCTGATTTTCAGCTTCCATTCCACATCATGTTTTTAAAGAAATGATAATAAAACGACATGAATTCAATGAAGAAATAAATAATCTCTATTTCAACTATCAGACATAACAATATATTCAGTATTTGCTTTTTCCAACATTGATGAAGCTATATGATGCTTATACTGACTGAATAGTTTAAAGTGAAGAAGCTTTGATTTGATAACTCCACTATTCCTAAAAGAAATATTGTAGATTTCTTTTGTTCACATTCCCCAAAGTTCATCCTGACAAATTTGGCATCTTTGGAAACTCTTTGATCTTGAGTGGAATCTTAAATCAGTTTCGTGGGTTTTTCTTTGTGTTTGGCTGCACAGCAGGTTTGTATAGATGGAGCCACTGGTGGAGCTGCAGAGTTTAAGAGGTGAAGTTACTACGTCTTTATTGAAGTAGCAGCATGTTGTCATTAATATTAATGAGAGCTCTTTTTACCTTTTTTGTATTTTACTGTTTGAACCTGCATCCTGTTGGGTTCAGGTGTTTGGAGTTTCCATTTTCTAAACTTCTACATTCTAAACCTTCTTCAGCTCTGATAACAGATTATTAAACACTGAATGACTTCAAAAAGGGACATTGTCTTCTAAAGTTACATCATTATTCTTATTCAGATTGAGGGGCTGCAGGTTGTCAGAGATCAGCTGTGCTTCTCTGGCCTCAGCTCTGAAGTCCAACCCCCTCCATCTGAGAGAGCTGGACCTGAGTAACACAAGCTGCAGGATTCAGGAGTGAAGCTGCTGTGTGGTTTTCTGGAGAGTCCACACTGCAGACTGGAGACTCTGAGGTCAGTTCACTGACTCTCTGTTACTATTGTAGACCTGATATGTTTAGTTAACAATTTAACCTAATTTCTGTTCATAACTTCCATCCATAAAGTTGTAAATGTTCTTTGATCATATTTTCATATTTCTTGTACTATATTTAGTCTGCAGTGACAAAACTTGTGTTTCTCAAAGAAACTATAGAAAATATCTGCTGTTAGTCATTAAAGTAAATGAATGTTTCTAATTTTGGTAAATGGTCACATCTGTATATTAATTTTGTTTGAAACTGATCAAGTTTACTTGTTGAAGTAGTAACATTTCTTTGCTTTCTGTTAGTTTCAATGTGTTTTCACAAAGAATTTCTGATCACTGATATCAGAGATTGGGACTCGAGTTTGAGACTCGGACTCAAGTCCACTTAAGTCGCATACACAGTAACTTCAGACTCGACTTGAGACTTGTCCTCAAAAGACTTCAAACTGACCAATATTATATAGCTGCTGTCCTGGAGGCTGTAGTTTCAGGACCCCGCAATCCTGGACTGCAGTTCTAAGACCGTATTCTTTTGCAACAATCCATCTGGTGGAGTAGTGGTGGTAATGCACAGCAACACGAAGGAGGTTAACCCTGTCTGCTGTGCGCAGCTGTAGGTTAACTTGTATTGACAGGCATATATCTATAACTTAGGTTTAGGCACACACCCAGTGATGGTTGTGGTAAGGGTAATTGGATTCGGGGGCTGTAAAGAGTCACTTAGCCAGCTAGCTAGCTGCTAACTAGCCAGCCAGCT